ACGCTTTTATCACAATAATACTAGTATTTTTTGTTCATAATTATTTTAAACTTATTTTAAAAATTATTTTTAACTTTTTAGTTCGACGTGCTTTAAAAGCGTGTTTTTTTAGTTTTTTAAACTATATTTATTTAATAGTGAGATAACTAGATAGAAAAAATTTGGGAAGGTTAATTTAATATCCTTATCTAACAAGGAGATAACATCTCCTTGTTTCACAAAATTAAACATGCCACTGAAAACTAGATCCAATTTTTATTGGCCTGGTCCTCCAACACACAGGTAGAGTTTCACATATAAACTAAATGATAACAAAATCCATCTAATTAATAAAACAAATATGTAAATATTCAATAAATATATTTTAATTAAAAAATACGTAACAAGCAGAATGTATAATGTGCATTTTTTCTATGAAAATAATTATTGAATATAAAAATGATTACTAAGACTTCTATTTAAATGATTTAGTACAATAAAAATAGTAATTTTAACGAAATTTTAAATTTTCCATATAAATTTAACGTTAATAGTAATTATTAAGTTCTTGATCACATGTTAAAAATACAAATTTTTATTCCTCATAACATTTTCTATTTAATGATATCAATTCTAAACTTGTAAAGTGAGCCAAAATAGTATTTAAAAGTTCAACATTTTAAAATTATTATTCTTTCATAAAAGTCAACTTTAAATTACTAAATTATAGGTTAAAAATGACATTTTGAATCAAATTATTTTATCATATTAAAAACCAATAATAACTAGATACAATTTAATTTGTATTTAATTCATCTTATCATATGTACATGCTTGTTTTTCTAATTATTAATAATCTCAAAAATTGAGGTGATAGAAAATATCTAATTTTAGATTTGAAATCATCGTAAAATTTTGGTTAAGTAAAGTATATATCGATCTATTATTATTAAAAAATGTTTCATTTAAGTGATATGGTTTTACTAATTCAGTATAAAAACGAATTTTATATTTCTGTTATTTGTAGTTATTTAATTAAAAAAAAGTTTTTTTGAAGTTGCTATATTTTATAATAAAATCAAGGGGGTTTCTCCAATGTTTGATGACTTTAAGTTAAATTAGTTTAAATTTGTGTGTATTGATATATTGATCTGTAAAATTTATCCAGTGAGAGCTGAGAATTTTTATGGACAGATATAAAAAAATATGCCAGCATCACAAGACTAATATTTTCATAGCTTTGAATCAAAACTAAAAAAAAAACAATTAAAAAGTTGTTAAAAAAAAAAGTATACTCAATTCAGCATATTTTAACATTGATTATAATTATAAAAACGCATTGTTAAATTTAGGTGAAACCCAAAATCATTTTATTAGAAATTATTTATATTGTAACATGTTACCAAAAAACTTGCTTTATTATAGAATGGTAGCAAAACATACAAATAGAGTTAAAAATAAATAAATAACAAAGTAAAATTATTCAACTTTGTAGTTGAAATATACTATCATATTAAACTCAATTCGACAATATATAATTTATAAACATCACAAATGAATGACTTTAATTGTCTACACGGGAAAATTTGATTAAGCAACTTTTTATTAGATAAAGGGAAAATTTTTTCAATTTTCGAGGATAATATATTTACTTAGACACTATTTGTAATCATTTGACGTATCATTGCAAAATATTGGTCAAGTGAAAGTTAAAAAAATTGAATTCAGATACCAAAATTAAATATCTTCTCAGCTTCTCATCGAAGCTTAAAAAATCAATTTAGTAAAATATTTTAATATGAATAAGAAATTCCTTCTCACGAGGGGAGGTTACAGTGATAGGATTTTTAATATTCATTGATGGTATGCTATTTAAATGAAATAAAAATCAAACGAATTTATATTTTTTTCCACTCCAAAAAGAATAAAGAAAAAAATCACTCGACAGACGGGATCGACCTCGTACCCCCAGTGTGACGAATTGGGTTAAAACCGATGTGGCTACTGTACATTATACGTATTAGTNGAATTGGGCTAAAACCGATGTGGCTACTGTACATTATACGTATTAGTATGTATTTAGAAAAAAAACATTAGTTGATTCATATATTTTTCAAAAAGTTATAGAAATTTAAAGTTGAAAATATAAAATCGAAAATTTTAACACAAAAATAGCTTTATTTTAACTACGGCAGCCGTTTGTACGTATAAGTCAAGTCGTTGGGACATATTTTTTTTTTAACTTACATTATGTAATATAAGCTTTAATTTAATATATGTTTAAAGGATGTAGTATTTCCGGAACTTTATCAAAAGTTAAGTTGAAAAATTTGAGTTTTGTAAAAAAGTTGCTATTTTGATTCTATACCTAACTGATGGTAGGTAAACTGTCAGAATTTCAAAAAATATATATATAAAAGGGAAATACCTATGGTTTCTATATAAAAAAAATCATATTGANCTGTCAGAATTTCAAAAAATATATATATAAAAGGGAAATACCTATGGTTTCTATATAAAAAAAATCATATTGATTAGTTTATTTTCGAAAAAGTTATGGCAAATTTAAGAAAAAATGTCAAAATTTAAAAAATTTGAGAATTTTGAAAAAATTGAAAAAAAAGAATGCGAATTTTAAAGCGCGCAGAAAACGGAAAATTCTTCCAGGTGACTCATATTTTGAGAGGTTTACGAAAATAGGATGTAGAGGGAGTTAGAGAGAGACAAATTATTTTTTATTTATAGATTAATAAAGGGAAACTCAAAAACTATAAACGATAGCCCATTGAAATGTGTTATAAAAATTATGATCAGTCTAATCGAAAAAGAAAATTCATCAAAATGTAGTGATGTCTAAAGTAAGATAAACAATAAACGTATGTAACTATTTTA